TAAGAGATCGTAACATTTTGAAGGGAGAAGTCTACTTTGATTATAATACTATTCTCAGACACGCACATGTACATAAACACAGGGCGCCTCTCCCGTCAAATTAAATGTCAACACTAGACGCCATCTATTGACCGTCGCCGCAAACTAGCGGCCTCAGGTCGGTGACAAAGCCACAACACCAGCTTTGGCAAATTGAGAAGCGTCCAGCTAGAGACCATGGTTTCAGGCTAATGCCCCTCTTCAGCCCAGGGTGGACTTTATTCCATGAGATCCACATAGGATATAATGGAATCTTCACAATCTGTCAAAGAGGTGTTTAGCTGGCAAAGTATCTGGCCAAAATATAAATTGAAAATTTGCAAATTTTGTATCAATTTAAATATTCCACAAATCTTTTAATTTTAAAAATTTATTCCCTATATCTGTACTAACATTGTTTTATATGTATTTTCAAAAAAGATAGGAATCCCTTTGCATCATGAAGAATATTTCAAAAAATAATATTTGCTTCCTTTTTTAATAAATATGCTTTTCGTACATTTATGTTTTTTATTTATTCTATCTTCTTTTTCTTATCTCCACTCAATCATATTAGGGTATCAAGTTGTGACCCTTGATGGTGTCTGTTTGACAACCATCATAACTGGGTGAAGTAGATGCATCTGCCTTTGTCATTAAGACTGGAGCACTACTCAGTGGCAGGCCGACTTAGCTTCAAAATAAATGGCCGTCTCTGATATGAGGAACAGACGCCTTGTGCAGCTGCTCCTAAAATGGAGTACAAACGCTGCTCATCCTGTATCCTGGATTAGGAGCCCTTACAGGGTACTATCAGCCAGGCCAGCTGAACCCAGGTTTTTTAGCGAGCTTGTTACTGCTCCCCCTCCTCCTTTTTCATCCGGGCTTGGGACAAGAAAAGACGGAGTTTATATATTTATTCTATGTATCATTACATCTGTGTTTGCTATGATGTGCATTGTTTATGGTGATTTTTAAAATATGATTTTAAACTGTGGTCGATATAAAATCACATACCACTGAATCACTATATTCCTTGATAGAAATTTTATTAGATTCTTTTTTTTTTTTTTTTGCAGAAGAGAGAAAAAAGCAGCTGGAACAAATGTCACGGCACAAGTCCTTTGTCACCTGCAGCCTGTGGGTGGGTAGCTCCAAAGATGTGATCCGCTCTCTGAGTTTGAGAATCCCTTCCAACTCCACCTTCTATGATTTCATGCTGTTGGCCAGCGCTGAAGACCCTTGTTTCGAGTAAGTATAGGTGTTAAATATTGAAAGGCATACATGAATCATTTTATTCGTGATCGAATGTTGTGGCCCACTGTATGTATTTACATACTAAACATGATGCGTGTGAATGTGTATAAAAGAAACATTCGTTTCTTAATATCTTATATTCTTTGTAAATTCTTACCAAATTTTCAACACATATTGTTACGATATTTGAAAATTATCCCGCATGTGTTTCTTTTAAACGTAAAATCGAAATTTATTTTTAAGGAGAAATAACGATTATTTCTATTGTTACATAGAATATTTTTGTAGAATTGATTTTCGAAAAGTGATGCGGTGACAATTAAACCAACTTTATTGACATCTCGTTAATTATGTACACTCAAAGAGAGTTGTAATAGCAATAGTAGTAAATTATAATAATAAGTAGATGATTAAAATATGTACAAAAATTATACATTTTGGAAGATGAAGGGAGGCATTCTCGGCGCGTGAGTGTTCTCCTCCAGGCGATGAGCGGGTCCTTCACGCCGCCGAGCCCAACCTGAACAAAGTGGCGGTAGATCCGTAACTTTGCATACGCGAGGATGGTCAGGGCGTCGTCCCCAAGGCCGGACCCGAAGATCCAAGCCTGCAGGTCAGGAGGCCGCCCAATGATGTTGAAGGCCTCCCGGACGAGGGGGCCTGATGTACTGGCAGCTACAGTAACGGTGGCCCAGGGATCGGTCGACAGACTGGCAGGCAGGACAAGAGTAGCCGGCCGAGGCAGGATTCAGTTTATCATTACTCTTCGCAATTCATCCTTTCATACTTATCCATAATGTTATAAATAATCATTATTCCTCCTTAAAAATAAATTTCGATGCTTTGTTTAAAAGAAACATGTTGTTACATTGAATATTTTTGTAGAATTGATTTTCGACAAGTGATACGGTGTTGTGTGTTTTCACAGGATAAAGTGTGTTCGGCCCAATGGGTCCTCATATCTACTCAATCTGTGAGAGATCCAACAGCATGGAAACTTTAGAGTACTGGCAACTCTTCCAAGAACATAATGGCACCATTACTGCTCTCAATGAAGGTACCTATTCTCATGATTCTTCATACATCTCAGTCAATGCTATATTTAATTAAAAACCTTATATAGTTAAAATTATAAATAATAAAAAGGCATATTATTGGACTGAATAAAAGATTTATTTGCCTTCTTGCTAGGCGAACCGCGTCGGTACCAAAACTAGTTAAAATTGTTCTGAAAATAGAACAATCCATACTTAAATCATTATATAATAAAAAGGCATATATTGGATTAAATAATCTATTGATAGTGTCAGATTCTGACGTTTATTTTGACGGGAAAGGCGACCATTGCTTCCATGGATTGATTTCCTCCCGGCAAATTTTCCATCTATGTTTTGCCAATAGATTTGGCCCAGCCACATTGCCAGCAAAACACCTCTTTGGTAGATTGTGATGATTCCATTAGATCCGTGTGGATCTCATGGAATAAAGTCCGCCCTAGACTAACGAGGGCCATTAGCCGAAACCATGGTCTCTAGGTGGACGCTTATCAGTTTGCCAAAGTAGGTGTTGTGGCTTTGTCACCGACCAGATGCCCGCTAGTTGCGGCGACGGTCAATAGATGGCGTCAGATTCTGACGTTTATTTTGACGGGAGAGGCGACCATTGTTTCCATGGATTAATTTCCTCCCGGAAAATTTTCCATATATATATATATATATATTACATAAAGATTCTCTTAGGTTGCTGTAGGGTGCATGAGTATGTGATAACGCAGTCCTGGCAATAATATTAAAAATAGTTCAGATCAGTAATTTCTTTAACTGAGCTAAAGGAATATATAAAAACATAATTTGATAAAAGTACTGCATGGCTTAAGGCGTAAGAATAAAAAATATGGAAAACTTATTTACATAATGTACAAAAGGTTTGAGCCGGCCCTCAGGAAACAACAACAATGAGTTTTTATAGAGAAGGCGTGACCTATGGCGGTATATTTAATATATATATATATTATATATATAAGTATATAGACCACTAAAATAATTATTTCAAAAAATACACATATTTTTTCAACCCAGAAACTTTCTCTCTATACAAAAATATATTATGAATTAGAGCGCCATCTGTTATGAAAATTCGAAAACTATTATAGACGCGTATGATTCTTTTAAAAATTAAACAATATATGATGAGCCAGGCCCTCCCATTTATTTTTCCATTGCAGTAAGGGCAATAGATATTGTTTAATTTTTAAAATAATCATACAAGTTTATAATAGTTTCGAATTTTCTTACAACAATGTAAACAAATAAAAAAGTCAATGTATAGATTTATACGTCAAACAGTATAATTGATTATATTTTTATAAACCATGCGCCTTTGTCTATGCTAGGAGAATGTGAGGATTTTTCAAGATTATAAATTAAACATATAATGCTTTGCTTGAATTTTTGATGCAAATTGAGAGTGCTCCAATCCCTGAAACCTTTCAAAACAATGAGCTAATTCTATGAATCGACATGTCAATTTCCTTTTTATGAACCCTTCGATTTCTTAACATACATATCTTTAAGTTTGCGGAAATAAATATTTTCTATCAAAAGAGTTTTTCAAACAATGTTAACACAATAAATATAAAACCATTTGAACTTAAAATGTGTTTTAAGAATCCTTATGCATTACTTATCATATTGTTAACACTTTTATTTACCTCTCACAAAATTGTATATATATAAAAATATAGATAAAGGCATATTTTGGATCGATAAATTTATAAAATTTCAATATTTCGACGAGGCTGTTTGCCTATATTCTTCTAGGAAAAATTCAAACACCTTGTAAGCTTATTATCCGCGTGATGCGCGCACGGAATTTACAAAGAGTTTGAATTTTTCCTAGAAGAAGATAGGCGAACAGCCTCGTCGAAAAAATGAATTTTAATAAATTTATTGATCCCAAAATATGCCTTTATTTTATTTATCATAATTTGCTCTATATTTAACTTAATTATTTTTCTTAATATATATAAATTGTGACTTTTCTTTATTTTCATGTTAAATGAAAGCTAAGTCGGCCTGCCACTGAGTAGTGCTCCTAGTCTTAATGACAAAGGCATTCTACTTCACCCAGTCATGATGGTTGTAAACAGACATCATCAAGGGTAACAACTTGATATCCTAATATGATTGAGTGGAGATAAAAAAGAAGTAGAAGAGATGTTGAATGAAAAATAATATTTAAGAGTACATTATGTTTTATATCAATTCAATGTTAATGTTTTATATAAATATATGTTTTTGTTTTCAGATCTCTCCAAGATCAGTGTAAAGGGCATGGACAAATATGTTTTCTGGTTCACTCAACCTGTGAACCTTCCACAAGAATAAAAAATGTAAAATATCATTTATTACAAACCCATTCTTTTCCACTGTAATTTTCAGATGAAATAAAGTATATATATATTTGGAGCTGAAACCTGTCATTATTTAGATGTAAATAACACTATCTGACATTTTCAACTTTAGAATTCTATAAAATGTTGTTAGTTGGAGCTTTTAAGATGCATTTGGTACTGAAACTTCGCCTTTGTCGGTCCCAAGCCCGGATGAAAAAGAAGGAGGGGGAGCAGTAACAAGCTCACTTAAAAACCTGGGCTCAGCTGGCCCGGCTGATAGTACCCTGTAAAGGCTCCTATTCCAGAGATACAGGATGAGCAGCGTTTGTACTCCATGTTAGGAGTGGCTGCATATGGCATCTGTTCCTCATGTCAGAGGTAGTCATTTCTTTTTGGAGCTAAGTCGGCCTGCCACTGAGTTGTGCTCCCAGTCTTGATGACAAAGGCAGACACATTCTGCAATAACTTTAGTGAATGAAGAAATAAAACTTTTATTGTTATATATTATTATTATTATATATATATATATATTTATTTATATATATTTGAATATTTAATCAAAAGAAATAAAAACAAACATTAAATTAAATGAATGCGATAAAGAAGAAAATAATGCGAATTATATATATTCAAAACAAAAATGATAATAACAACTTGAGAATTACAGAAGCAAAAAATGTTCACCGAATATTTCACGCTGATATATTACACCATCTTCCCGCTACATTCAAATATATCTTGAAGGAGGTCTCCGATTTCTTGGTGGGTTTCTTCTTGGGATGGGTCCTTCATTACTGGCTTCGGGATCCGGGGAACGAGACGACTCCCCTGAAATGCCTTATCATTCTGGTCCACGTGTCCAGAGTCCCGCTGCTGTCTGGCTGTTTCTATAGGCAGCGATTCACTTCTGCCTCTGTTGGGCATATCAGCCTCAGGGAACGATGATATCAGTTTCTTCTCTTTGGCGTCCATATTGTCGATCTTCATCTCCACCATTCTCCCACCTCTTCCTTATTTGATCTCTATGATAACTTTTGACCTGTCCGTGTATTAAAACTGTATAGACTCGGGATCCTTTTCCTCCCCACTATTCTGCCTGGAATCCATCGATCCCCGCCTCTAAAATTTCGACACCAAACCATGTCATCTATTCCAAACTCATCTTGTTGATATCCGTGGTCGTATTTCATTTGCCTGGCCTGCTGCTCCTTTACTCTTGATTCCAGATTTGGATGTATAATTGATAGTCGGGTTCAAAGGGAACGCCCAATAAAGAGTTCTGATGGAGCCCTTCTTGGTTGTTTCATGAGGGGAGCTACGATATGCCAGCAAAAATATTTGATAGCGTGTCCTGAATGGTATCCCCAGGTTTTCTTTTATTTTTTTCTAACGCCATTTTTATCATCTTGACAGCTCTCTCTGCCAGGCCATTGCTCTGAGGATGGTACGCAGGAATCAGTGTTTGTTTTATTCCATTATTTTTTTTTTAATTTCATTTCACTACCCGTATACTGAGGGCCATTATCTGACACTATTTCTTCTGGTAAACCATAAGAAGAAAAAAGTCGTCTAATTGCTCAATTGTTTTTGCTGAAGTTATTTTTCTCATTGGGAATGCTCGACCCACTTAGAATGACTATCCACGACAATTAGCAAATTGATGTTATCTTTGTTTGCATAATCAATATGGATCCGCTGCCAGGGTCTAACTGCCCAAATCAAGGTTGCCACTTCACTCTATTTGGGCCATCTTGAACCTGTTGGCAGTTTCTACACCTGTTTTACCAGGAACTCAATCTCATTGTCTAGATTTGGCCACCAGAAATGAGACCTTGCACAGACTTCATTTTGCTCATCCCTGAATGGGTCTCGTGTAAGCAACTCAACAAGTTCGGTCTGAGAGAAGAAGGAATAACGACCCGCATCCCCCACAAAAGACACTCTCCGTCCACAGTCAGCTCCAGTTTTCTCTGAAAGTAGGTCTGAGGTGGTCTGGCACTCTCTCAGGCCAGCCATGCTGGGTATAGCACTTCACTATTATAGCACTTCATCCTTTTGAGTTTCAATTCTAATTTCTTCGGCCGTGATGGGCAAATCCTCCATGTAGGACAGTGCATAAATTTATCCAGTCTCGAAGTTTCCCCACTCTCAACTGGAAGACGTGACAGAAGATCTGCATTTCCATGATCTTGAGTTTTTTTAAACTTGATATCGTAGGTATAAGCAGTCAGAATTATCGCCCATCTCTGTAATCTCGAAGTTGATAAAGTAGGAATTCCCGATTTTGGGCCTAAAATAGACACGAGCGGCTTATGATCCGTTATCAGGGTAAAACGTCTCCCATAAATAAACTGATGGAATTTGGTCACTCATAAATTATTGCGAGAGCTTCCCTCTAAATCTGAGAATAGTTGCGCTCGGCTCCTGATAGGGTCCGAGAGGCAAACATGATCGGTCTTTCCTGGCCTCTGATGACATGAGACAGAACCGCGCCAATTCCAATCTGGGATGCATCCGTGGCTAAAAACAAAGGCAATGTGGTGTCGTACGGAACTAAAACCCTCTCAGAGGTAATGCTACTCTTGCACTTTTCAATAGCCTCTTCACACTCCTTGGTCCAGCTCCAGCAATTCTTTTTATGAAGCAGCTCGTGAAGAGGCCTCAATAGATCCGGTAGATTTGGAATAAATTTTCCATAATAATTCACCAATCCAAGAAATGACCTCAACTCAGAGATGTTTGTCGGACTCTTGGCCTTCTGTAAAGCTTGCACCTTGTGATCCAAAGGTCGGATGCCATCTTCCTTGATAAGATGGCCCAAATACTCGATTTCTTTTTGCACAAATTTACATTTATCCTTCTTCAGTTTAATGTTGTATTTTTCCAAACGCAGAAACACAGTTTTCAATACAGCTAAGTGTTTCTGCACTGAAACTGTAGCTATGAGGACATCATCAATATAGCAAATAACGCCCTCTATTCCAGCTAGAGCCCTATCCATCACAGATTGGAAATAACTAGGGGCATTAGCCAGCCCAAAATGCATTCTCCTAAATCTGAAAAGTCGCTTATGTGTGTTGATAGTTAAAAATGGCTGGGTGCTCGTTGCCACCTCTAGTTGCAGGTAAGCGCTGCTCAAATCTAATTTTGAGAAATATTTCCCCTTGGCCAAGATAGCAAACAAGTCTTGCTGAATGGGGAGCGGATAAGCTGCTGTATCCAAGAATCTGTTCAAAGTTACCTTAAAATCACAACAAATTCTCATTTCCTTATTTTTTTTTGGTACCACTACTACTGGAGTTGCCCACTGGCTACTCCTCACCCTATATAAGTATCCCTTTGTCACCATATTTTCTAAAGCTTCTGTAACCGCCGTTCTAATCGCAAAAGGCACCGGTCGAGCCTTATGAAATATTGGGCTGACGTCACGAATATTCATTGAAAATGTGAATCCTTTTATGGGCTCTGCTGTGTCATTGAACAAAACTTGGTGCTCTTTCAAAAATTCAGCAATAGCAATTTCCAAAGGTATCTGGTTCACCGCAAAATAATCAATTTTCAACAAATTTATCCATTCTCTCCCCAGTAGGGCCTTTTTTCACCTTTGACTACTACAGCTCGAAGCATTGAAGTCTTGCCCTGAAATTCCACCTTAACGATAATCTCGCCCAGAATTGGTATATATTCTGTCATGAAGATC